ACCAACCGGCTCTTTATGTCTTTGATCTCTGTCTCGTGCTTCCAACTATAGTGGACACCTCAGTAGGCTCCACTGAGCATTACAAAGAAACTCTCACAGCCCAAGGGCAATTTTATGCCTACTAGTGTTGACCAGTAACGGGCCAAACACATGTCCATTGTGTCTCAACTCGGACTTCCACTTTGTTTCAAATTGTTGTTTTTTTCTACTAGTGATTCAGCATATCTCTAGTGCAATTGAGCAGTCTTAGGGCTTTCAGTACATTTCTCACATCCAATTTGCCGATCTTCATATTTTTTGAACGGAAATCCATTGTTAAAAGAACATGCTTTTAAAGATTGCTTATCATAATGCTGACTAATCCGTGTGACAGGGGTTCTTTATCAGCTATTCAAAACCTTCCGAAACTAGAAGTAAAGTGGGCTAGGCGCTGTGGTGGCAGTAGCAATGGCAGGTCTAAGTGCAATCACGGAGAAAATTGTAGGAAACGGGCGACCAAACGTTCCGCGCCCCCCCATTACAAGGCCGCGCTCGGTCCGCTCTCAAAACCACCATGCAAATTGAAAATGGAAACATAATATCAATTTGCCTTAAAAGAAGCATTCTTCAACTTTTACCGTATAAAAATTCATTAGCTTGAAGACGAAAATGAAGTCGTCTACCGGCATTATACTCACAGAGCGGTAATTGCTAGTCTGCTTGAAGAAAAAGTGCTCAAGACTGCTCAACAACATGCTTTTTTATAGCGTTGAAGTTGTATGACTCACCTTATGTGTACGAAATCACTCTGGATACCAAATAATCAAAGTTCGTGGTTCCTCCTAAATTCGCACATTCAATTTCAAATCGTTCACCTTTGCTTGCCACTCGGTGGTACTCAATCTCGCCGACTTCCACACTTTCTGTCACAGAACCCCATGCACAAGTCCGTCATAAAATAGGTTCAACCTGCAATTTTGGTAATCTCTTATATGGTTTTTCTGAAAAAGGACGTCACAGCAGAGGAAAAGAGATGTAGGTGGATAGAGGGCGGGAT